GAAGACGGACATTTTACTTAATATCAGATTTCTATTCATCAGGAGGAAATTTGGATTTGAGATTTTGGATTTGGCCTTAAAGCTTAAAACTGGACTGAATACCTTTTATTTGAGTTCATCAGATAAGTGCTACACGAATAAAGTTATTAAATATATAATTACACGTGGTATTATAGTGTCAACTGAAAAGTTAAAGACATGTCAATGTTGTTCACAAATAGTTTCGTTGTTGTTTGTTTTGAGTATATGTAGAAAGAGTGTAAAATGACTGCTCAACTCATTAGTCTCACAAGACACCGTGATGTGATGACACAAGAAGAAGAAGAAGAAGAAGACAGATGTAAACAAGGCAGATTTCAAAAGACATGTCTGAAGCTTCTGAAACACAGAGTCTGTTTTGTGTGTAAGTGCAGTAAAGTAAAATGTTTCCTTCATGTACTTGGATTCGCCCCAACGCTGCACACGTCCGAACACGTTTCACTGTTAATTTTAAACACTCCACACATTCCTGGAAGAAACCCAGTCCGTTCATGTTCAGCAGCTGATTTACCTCAGTCTGCACCTGAGGCCATGAAAACTGTCGTGTGCATCAAAACTCGTCCTGACTGTGGCGAGCAGGAGCACGACGCCGCTCTGCCTCAGAGACGCCGCCAGACGATTTCCAGACAATCGAACGGAGCATCGGAGGAAATGTTTGCTGAGAGACAGAAGGAGACACACGTGCTCTCAGGAGACGGCCTTCAAGATGGATTATCCTCCATTACAGGTTTAATCCAGCAGATTAGTCCGACTATAAAAGACTTAATCTGATTAATTCAATTTGACAAATGTGAATCAGGATGAAATAAGACGACAGACGTATTTATTCCAGTTGTGGGAAACAGAGCTGATGCACCATTTAAACACTCTGACAGCACGGTGACACGTGATTGGTCAGTGGGCTCCACATGTAGTTCAGGATTCTGATGCCAGTGGAGTTGGTGCTCGTCTAGTTTGCTCTGTTTTATCCGTGCACTGACTTTTTAAAAAGTTTCTGACGTTTTATTTCTTTTCTTCCGGTGAGAAACATCTGTTCCTATGGCGACGGTGGAGAAAACAACAGGACTGATCCTCTGGAGTTTTCTAATCATCACGACTCACTGAAATCTGCACGTCGTCAGAGGTGAGTCGTTTTCGTCCCTGCCCTCCTCTCGGACTAAAGCACAGTGGTGGCGTTGTTACGCGCAGGTAGCGGCACTGCAGATTTTCTCCTTCAGCTCCACGCTACCTCCACTGAGACCCTCCGTCTCCAGTTGCCACGGTGATGACCCATAAATCATCATCATCTAAGGTGGAAGATGCAGAGTTTCTATTACAATGAGAGGTCCGGAGCTTTAAAACATCTTTTTACAGAATAAAATCCATGCGCTGCAACAAAACGTCCCTCTGACTTTTAAAACTGCACCTTGAAGATTCTGCAGGAAACATCAGATAGAAGGGATTTACAAAAAGCCGGAGGTGGTGACAGGAGCGAGAGAACAATTTCTCTCTTTGTGAAATAATACGTTTGGAAATTAAGGAAGAAATGATGTAACTTACACTTTGAAAATGCAGGAGCAGGAGTTTCAGTTACTGAGTTTGATTTATTCTAAAGAAAATAATATCATCCAAGTGTCTCACCAAGTTATTAGGAATCAACCTCCTGAGACCGTGAATGTCTGAATGTTTCACCACAGACGGTGGCACGTGTCCTTCTGATAGTCCAGCCAAGTCACTAGTGTCCCTGATCAGTAACCAACCATTCAACTGGACGATGGAGACAAACGGATAATGTTGTGTTTACCTGGAAGTTTCCCACCATGATGAGCCCAGCGGCACAGATCCATCCGGTGGAGAGGCCGGCCATGTTGAGGACACAGTTCTGGTGTCTCTCGATCACGTGAGCGTAACGCAGGAGGCCGATCAGCATCGCTGGGACGACAAGAGACAGAAGTGAGAGAGTGAAGATTGAATACACTCACAACATGGAGGGGGGGGGTGGGGGTTGAAGCACTTTGGTTTCACTTATGGGAGGGGCCATGTCGTCCGTCTTTATCCACAGTCTATGGGTGTTAAAACATGAATTAATTGTATAAATGGCGGAAACAAAGTTGTCTCCGGTTATCGAGCGGATGAATGGTGAAGCGATGATGGACCCCTGACGTCCGTGAGCGGCTCCATCAAAGCTTCACGCGTCCGTCTGATGCAGTTCACATCTGCTGCTCATCAACTAACGCTGCAGAGAGCGACTGTTTTCATGTTCATGTTGTGAATCCGGCCGTTAACTCAGCGGTCAGTTTCTGATCGTGGAGCGTCCGCGGCGATCAGACGCCATGTTTGGGGTTTTCAGTTTGTTTCAGCGCCGGCAGCTCAGCGAGGGAGAGACTCTGTGATCTGCAGGATCCTCGTCTCCACTCACACCACAGCTACGAGTTCAACAACGTCCTCAGTACTTGTTGCATTTGCAGCCGTATTTTCATTTTTACCTCTTCCTGTTTGACACATGACCTTTGACCCTGGGTTACCATCACTGCCTGACTAACATGTGAACACTGACACAGATGTTAGATAACGTGGCTCCCGGCCTGTGTCCGGGTCGTGTGAAGTCGCGGAGGAGGACGGGACAGTCAGAGACGAGTTATGAGATAAAAACCACACGCAGAGAAAAGAGCTGAGACAAGTTAACGAGCCTGTTGAACGTCCTCAAAGCTTCTTCTCAGAAAACCTTAAACAACCAGGTGCTCGCTGCCGAGAGGTCGAGACACGGAGCAGCTCCAGTCACGACTCATCACTCACGTTGACGTCTTCCCGTGTTGCACGTCTTCAGTTTCAGACCAAACTCTCATAAGTGAATACATTAGTGCTCAGAATGGTGACCACTCCTTCCCTGCTGAAGTCTCACGTGGACCCCCCCTCTGACATTCTACCAGGGGGCCGGCAGGAGAATGTGCAGAGCATCTGACGTTGGATTTCTCACATACAGAACCTCCAGAACATCTGAAGGAGATTACAACAAATCATGCAAACGACTTCTGCTCGAGCAAAACAAACTTTCGTTCCTGCAAAACCCACCAAATAATCAAGGTAACGTGGCCACGCCCCCTGCAGCCGCCGCAGAAAACCTCACCTCCGTCTGCAGAGGAAACATTGATGACACCTGTGAGTCCTCCTGGTTTAAAAAGCTCAGCAGACCAAAGCTTGATATGGTAACTTCTTAAGAGACCAAACTCTCAGAACCATGAAAAACCTTTATTTAGAGAAAAGTCTCTACACACCGGGACGATGAACTCGAGCAAACGACTGCAAATAGACGTTTCAGAGCAGATTGGACAACAGTCAGAGCTGAGGAGCTGCCCTCACGGTCACAGGATGAATGTTCCTGGGGCACATGAGTCATAAAAATGCAGCGTTTGTGGCACAGAGTGAATTTTCCGTCGGTGAGAGGAGGGGCGGCTGGATTCAGAGCAGCAGAGACTCGGCTGGAGATGCTACAGCTGAGAAAACAAGTCCTGAGAGAGTCCAGAGTCTGGAGAGCAGCATGTGGAGTGAGTGAAGAATTGAAAAAAAAGCACTGGAGTGATGTTTTATACTGAAAACTCTGCGTGGATACTCACCCATGAAGGAGCCGGTGCTGCAGATGAGGCTGAAAAAGCAGCTTTCAGGTGGCAGCGTTCCACATTTACTGAAATGAAAACAGAGCAGAGGAGAGTTAGCGCCGCCGGCCTCCAGGCTCAGTGGGAGAAAGGTCAATCAAGTTCTTCCATCACTTCCATCACCTCCACTTTTCGCTCTGCAGCAGGAAATGCTTTGTGCAAACGTATAAAGACCTCGTGCGTGCTGAAGTTACTCTGTGGTGTTAAGACTGTGGCTGTTTTCTCCTGGAGAAGCTGCTGAGTGGGGAAACGACTGAGGAGGAGAGTCTCGCCGGGAGGTCGAGGAGAGAATGACACCGAGATTTTTATCTGCAGAACAAAAGCTTCAAGAAAAACATCGGACGCTAAGAAGGAGAACAACTGTCGTCAAGGAACGCTGAAGATTTTATTTGTTGAAGAGAGTTTCTCCTTGTTTGCATTTTGCGAGTCAGTGTGGCGACATTTCAAAGAGGATCCAACACACACACACACACACACACACACGCACACAAACAAAAGCTCTTCTTCCTGTGGAGGTGAAAAGGTCCTCCTCCCTCCCCCCCACCCCCTGACTGCGAGCCTCAGTCGGGCAAGTGTGGACTCATCGGACGCACGGTGCAGCTGCTCATCCACCAGCAGCTCGGCTGGAGGAGAACATGCATTTAAACAGGTCGTTGTTTGGGTGAAGATCGAATCTGATAAATGATGTGAAGCCTCTGTTCTGTTCTTCAGACCTGGTTTTTAACAGCGAGCTGGTCACCAGTGAACTGGAAACTTTCAGGCTTTGGAGACAGAAATGACGGGTTTCCAGCAGTGAGGTCAGATTACAGTTGCAGACACAATCCGACACCAGGTGTGAACCCGGAGCTTCACCTGTGCTGCAGTTAGCGATTGTTAGAGAAACCACACAACTGTCGTCTTATAAATGAAAACGTTTCAGAGGGCTGTCAACAAACCAGAGGGTTGGAGGTTCAATGCCCCGCTGTCTCCTCGGGCAAGATACCGAAACCTTAAATTACCACTGGTGACTGTTCTGGCAGCGAATGTGGCCGATGAGACAAAAAGTTCTGAACACATTCAGTAAATTGACGGTGTGAACACTGACCTGATGAGCGGAATGTTGTCCAGGGTGCAGCACAGAACAGGGTCCCTCTGTAACACAAGCGGCTCCTCACAGGACTCGTTATAAAGCCTGTAAACACACACACACACACACTTATCTTTATATATATATTATGTATATTTATAGAGGCGTTACATTGGACAAACACTCATCTCATCTTTAATTAAGTTTATAAAAGATAATCCAGGTCACATTTGAGCCTCAGTGACTCATAATGAAGCTGTTATGATGCAGGACGAGTTAAAGAAGCAAACGTCTGTTAATGGTTTGAGCATCAACTTTCACTCGTGAGGCTCCGACGCTCGGCTGTAGAAAATTAACCCGCACACAGTTTTAGGTGAAAGGTCATTTAAATAACACGGTGAAATGCTACACGGCACAAACACTGTACGATTTAACTCGAATGACCTGTATGATATTAAATATTCATATAAGCTTGGGGACGTTTTGTGAATTTCTTTCTTTTGAGTAATTTAACAAATAGGAATAAAACGTTTTAGACAAAGAAAACGATGCAAAAGAGAACAAACCAGACGTTTTCTCTCTGTTTGAAAATGAACATTTAACCTGAACTAACTCACACGTGTCATTTAAACAGGTTGTTTCAGGTTGAGCAGTCAGTTGGATGTTTTCAGTTCCAGAGAACTGATCTGTTTCTCTTCCAGATCTCACATCCATTCCTTCTGCACACGTCCTCCCATCGTGTCAACATTTGCCCCTGCAGCATTTTATTTTCTTAATGTCCGCTCCCCATCTCGTGACTGTGTTTGAATTAAGGTCGACAGAACTTGGCAGGAAGTGGCGAGCGGGGCTTTCGCTGGTGAAGGTTGAGAAAAGATTCCTGAAGCAGAAATGAGCCTTTTCCTGCAACGGAGCATAAACACGCCGGCTGAGGAGGATTCCCCCGACACACTTGTCACAGCCTCACAGTTTTCACTGTGAGCATCTGTCTGGTGAAGAGAAATTATTCATGATCTGAGAGTTACGCGTAAAAACTCACATCATAGTATTCCTCCAGACATTTCTGCTGTTTGCCAACGGAAAAAATAAGTAAGTTATTGAATATTTATATTGAGCTGATAATTCTGTGATTCATATTATATCATTATTATCTTCTGTAATAATTCTGTGAACTTTCAGGTCTGACAGACTTCCCGAGGGTTTGAAAAACATTTAGTTGGAATCATCGGGATGAAAAGAAGAAGAGGAACGCAGTGTGACATCCTTCAAAAGTAACAGAGTGTGAATGATAAGCGTCAGAGGAACGGACAGAACATTGTGACTCTGTCTTTGTTACGATGTGTGAAAATCAAACGAGTTAACATCATGACTGATATAATAAAAGTGTGTGTGTGTGTGTGTGTGTGTGTCGTACCAGTTGTGCACCGGGCAGACATGCTGGTTGTAAAGGGCCATTGTGTATCTGAAAGGTTAAAGCAGAGAAGAAAATGTTTAGTGAAGTGTAACCAATTTTATTCAACCACAAAATCACACATCACACGATTTACGCTTGTTTTCTCTCAGTCTCCGTCACGAAGTGTGTGCGCTGGCTGTATTTTAACCTGCGCTCTGACGTCAGAGGAGCCGCTGCTAAACCCGCCGACTATTCAACAAGCACCTGCACCGACGCACAGCCGAGATAATTCATTATACAAATGCTGCATGAGTCTCAGCGCAGGAGACGAAATGTTCGGCGGCTCAATACTTCAGTCCAGACAGAATCACAGACCTTCACGGTTCCAACAGGATGAATCTCAAATGTTCTGATCTTTCAATTCTTCCTTGATTCAAAATTGCACCAACTACTGAAAGAAAATTTGCTTCAGACGTTCATGTCCTCCTGAGAACAACTTTTAAAAACCTCAGTGATCCACTGACGTAACGTCGCGCTACTTGACTACTCCGTAAAACCTTGGAGCAAAAGTAAAACCACAACTTCAAGGTTTAGTTACAGAAATAACAAATCCCCACTCACTGGTGTTTTCACATCTTCTTAAAAGTAAATTCTGGGTATGAAACAGGCTTTTATAAGACTGTAAATAAAGATGGTCAACACCAAATTATCCGGACGCTGCCATCTCACACATTTTGAGCCAGAATCTGTGGCATCAAGGTCCCGCCCATACACAACCTCGACCAATCCAGATCAGAAACATCAACACTTGAACAAACATCAGTCTGATAAGAACCTGAACTGACAGAAAGCATCTTTGATTTTTTTTGTGTTTGGTCCATATCCCATCTGCTAACATGGAGGAGGCGGGTCTCTGACCTATACGAGAAGCTTTAGTGGTCACGTCTGTATGAACAGCAGAGAAAGGACCGACAGCAGAAGTGACACAAATCTCCTCAGAATAAAGTGTCGCAGAGTTTTATGGATTTAAAGACACGAGCAGCCGAGTCGCTGTGATGTCACCACACGTCCTTATCTGAAAAACACGTTGTACCACAGATAAGACAAACGAAACAAAGCTGAACAGGAACTGAAACACTGAAGAATGTGTTGACCACTGATACCAGGCGGACACTCGGGAGTTTGACATGAGTGTGTGTGTCGCACACCAGACGAACCAGAAGGAATCTCAAGGACGACGCAACAGAAAACCAAAAAAGGTTCTAATGTTCAGACGACCGCAGACACACAAGTCTCCACAGGACGGAATCATGTGGATGATATTTACATGACAACACAGAGGAACTTACACAAGCCATATCCCAGTGATGGTGAAGACAGGCAGGCTGACAGGAAGGATGATCCACAGAGACATGGTGATCACCTGGAGATCAAACCTACGTCCTGCAGGGGTTTGTTTGTTGACAAGAGGATTCGATGCACAGACGGGGCTGTTTTTAAAGAAATGACATAAAGAGACAAATCCTCATATTTGAGAAGCTTTTTAAACTGTGATTTTCTGCTGATTATTTTCTTCCACTCGATTTAATAAATACTAGAAAACTGTGAAAATGCTGCGTAGGATTCCGACTCGTTAGAATCAACTTGTTTCTAAACAACAAAATAAAACTGAAAGATTCAGATTCACTTTGACTGGAAACAAAGAAAAAGCAGCAAATCTCCTCATTAGAGAAACTGGAGCCAGAGAATTTAGAGCATCTTAGTTTGAAAATTGACTCAATTGATTAATTGATTGATTGATTATCAGAGACAGCAGAGAACTGAGTGATTGATTGATTGAATACTCTTTAGACGAGATGCATGTTTCAAGACTAAAATCTTACAACCTAACCCTAAATGTAATATTGGATATAATATTGTAGTTTTACTTGATAAATGAATTAATTGAATATCAAACATGAAATTAATAAATTTACAAAATACGTATTACAACAATTAAAATACAAGAGAAATAACTTAAAGAAGATATTTAAAGTTCCTTTTTGTTTCCATGTATTTATTCAAAGTCTTAAAACCACGAATTCAACTTGTTAAAAAAGACAAATTCAAGATGAAAGCTCATGAAATAAAACTTGTACTATGACTAACACACTTTATTTCTTGTACTTTATCACATGTAGAACAATTAGAGGAACCTCAGGTGGAACTTGTGCGTAAAAAATGAAATGTTCTCTCACCTCTCGTTCCTTCTTCAGTTTGTGGAGAGGAAAAGAAAACGCTTCAGTCTCATCTCAGCTCCTCCAGGCTCCAGGAGAAGTTGCGGGACGTGGCTGCGGGTCTGAGCCCCGCACACCGAGCTGCTGCTGCGTTCATGGTCCAGACCTGAGCCGGAGCGACGCGTAAAGACGACGCGTTTCCAAGTTTTCATTCATCCCCGCGACGCGCACTCTCCTCCGGCTGCAGCCTGGTTGTTGTAGCCGTGAGGTGGAGAGAGAGAAGCTGGAGTCAGTGACTTCAAACTCCTCCCAGCTCAGACTGTCTCCCCCATCCTCCCCCCATCCTCCACACATATACATCCTGTGTATGTGCACGTTATGTCACTGTATAGGTGCATATGATGATGCATCATAATACAAACTGCAGTAACATTTCAATGTGTTTCGTGTGGAACTATAACTGTCAGATAAAGAGTAATTGTACTGAGTTACTTAAACAGCAGATGTGAAATGTTTGATTTTAGATTCCGAGAAAAACCAGTTAAACCTTTGAAAGAAAGACAAAAAATACAATTAAAAGACAAACTCCTTCCATTAGATATATTTCTGCTCTTTAGTTGATGAATTTTAGATGAGAACTACATTTTACCATTTTATGGGTGCACCTGAACGCAGCCTCACGTGTCTCCTCCTGTGCAGATGTTGCGCACAGCTGCTTTCACTTAACTGTGTTTGGCTGGGAAATCAGAGATGTCTGTGGTGAAGCTGACGTTTCCGATGCTCCCGAGGGCCGTGAACGACTCTGACGGAGAGACAGCTGCCACACGAGGGCGCTACACACGTTTTTAATAACACGGAAGTACTTCATCAAAAGTAGAAGTACAATGAATAACTTCATTTTAGATTAGTTTGTTTTCAAGTCACATTTTTCTTGCTTAAAAAGTTTGGCTCAAAATGAAAAGTGATCAAGTACAAGTACGTCATATTTATACTAAAGTAAAGTTTTAGCATCATAGACGGTAATGACAGGATGAGTGTGTAGTTTGTGTAACAGTGTGAATAATTAACTTGTTTGTTGTTAAATGTTTTGAACGTGGGACTGCAGCCATAGTTTTATGTTTTTATCTTGAAAATCCACAGCGGAAGTCTACGTGGTTCTTTATCCGGTGCACTTCGCTCGTGTCTCGGTAACGAACCGCGTCACGCTGCGGGTAAGTTGCGGTTCTGTTCGCTCGCACGTAAACTAATGAACGTAACCTGCGTTTCGTATGTTGTGTGAAATCATTGTGTGTCAGATGAAACGCTCGTAGCAGTCGTAGTTGTGTTGTTTGGTAAAGTTGTGAACTCGCTGCGTTAGCTAGCTGCGTTAGCTAGCTGCTAACATCTCCTCTGTGGTTCGAGCGGGAAAAGACTTTTCACCAACTTCCCTTTGATTCTGCAGAAACTGTGTGTTCATGTTTGTATGGAGCTCAGTGACGGCTGGCCAGCAGAGGGCGCCAGAGCTATGATCAAGTATTAATGTGTTTTACGCGTGTTGTTTAAACTATAAATAAATGCGTTCAGGACGTACAGTGGAAACGAGGCGAGTAGCCGGTAAGAGGCTGTCGCTGGGGAAGATCCACGCGTAGCAAAGTAAATTTGGCAAATTAACATCGTGGGAAATATCGCTCGATTGTTAAAGCGCCCGGGTCACTCAGTGTCGGTGTCGGAGGAAGTCAGACGGTACTAGTGACAATGACCCAATTTTTGTTTGTATATAGTTTAACTCATAAGAAATCCACCTGCTTTTATTTTGTGTGTTCAATGTTTTATTGAACTGTGTTTTGCTTCAGATGTGTTATATTCAGTTGTCACCACAAGATGGCAGCATTGCCTTTATTTCAGTGTTGTATGCAAAAAGGAATTGAATGTAATATGAGGTATTTTTGAATACTGTCGACATAAATAATTGAATTTATTTTGACAGTGACTCACTATTACAGAACCTTTAAAAAAGTTTTATTTTTGTAATTGATCATTTTTATATTTATATTTTATTTACACCTGTATCTTTCAGAATAAATCCGTCCAACGACACAGACTCCTGTGAAGTGCATTCAAACCTGCAGGAACATTGTAGAGATTAATAATACAAATACTCCAAATACTATTATTACAATATCTGCAGTTATAATCTGTTTAAATTATGTAGAATATTCAGTTTTTAGGAATCATGATTTATGTAGATTATAATTTGTATTATCTTTTAAATTTCTCTAAAAGACACATTTTATAGACTTTGAATACAATTCATTCAATCTTGTTTTTCCTCTTTTCTTATTTGAGACATTTTTACTTTAGTATTTGAGATTTCTTCCTCCATTTTTGTTTCGAACAGTTCTAAATAAAGTTTTTAAAGCTGACGGAGAGAGAGCGAGAGATCACAAACAACAGCTGGAGACATTTTAACACCAGGATTTATTTAAGGATTTATTATAACAACATTTCAACATCAGAAGCCCTTAAACTGCTTTTTCTCCTTTCAGGTGCAGTTGACAGCAGAATCCACAAGGGGGAGATGCTGCACAGACCGACATGGGACGGCTCACATTAAACCAAGGTAGAAATAGAAGCTTCGTTTGGCACAGAAATGACTCAGAGTAGCGTCAAGTTTATCGAGTGGTCGACTCCTACAGTGATTTTTATTCTGAGCTGATTTACAGTGAATGTCTTCAGGCTCCGAGACATTTAAACAACCTGCAGTGATTTCAACTACATCAACACAACACACACAAACACGACAAATGTGAACCGCAGCTCCTCCGACACCAGAAGCTGCCGTGGACGGAACAAACAGTCAAAGTGGTTAACTCATGTTTTCACAGGATGGAGAAGCTTCGTTCGAAATTAGCACGAAACACAAAAAAGAAACAAAAACAGGATGACATCATGTTAAACAAATTGAACACACCTCAGGAAACATCTCTGCATGTTCAGTGTTACAGTCTTTTAGTTTTTCTGCAATCATCACCCGTCTCTTTTCATTAAAGAGGTGGAAATGGTTTGCCAGCAGATGTGTGGAATGTAGAAATGCACGAACACAACATCTGGATGGGAGAAAAACTGACGCACAGCTGGAGAAACTGCACATCCTGATAAAAAAACATCTACACGTCAGATCTGCAGGAGACATTTGACACTATAAGAAAATAAATACACTCGTTTACAACGGACACACTGCAGCGCGTCGTCCTTCTTAGCAGCTCGAATGATCCCAGCAGCCCCCGTGGGTTTCTCTGTTCGCTCACCGAGTCAGAATCAGCACCTCAGAGAACGGGAAGCACGTGAATGTGAATCTCTGCAAGAATAGTTCTCAGATTTGTACCAAGTTTCTTCATCCGCACCCCGAGAATCTACAGTACAGACTCTAGAGTACATCAAGGAAGAGAAGAGAACATAGGATGGACGTTGCTGCTTTTCTCAAAATTTACACAAAATCCAGAAGTGCTGAGAACATGTGCACCTCACTAATACTTCCCCGACCCTCACCCTCTCAGAAGATGATTAATAATAACAATAATAATAGTTTAAATACTGTTACATTAAATTCTGTTTCATTTTTTCACCATTTTTAGTTTTGTTTTCTTGTGAAACAGCGAGAACCTTCACCTTTTCAGAGTCTCCAGAAAAATCCTTCATATGAAACAAGCTTTGCACGAACAACAGTCTGAGATCAGTGGTCACAAACAGACAAATACAACATGTCTGGAAGATCGGTGTTAAACCACGAGAGCACAGAGCAAAGTGAAGTAAATTTCCACCTGCTTCACTGACAGGATGTTACCTCAGGTGCATGTCTGTTCATCTAATGAATAAATGCCCAGAATACAAGAAAAAACTAATCCATACTCAGACAGATTCATCCCCAAGTTACATCAGCTCACTCTGTGCAGATGCTGCGAACACGTTAACGTCATGGATTTTTACTGGTTGTTTTGTTTTGATCTACTCTGCATTATTTCCCAGGAGGAATTCATTTACAACACATAACAATGACAGAATGTTCAACTCATGATCTGGCTTTTGTGGTAAAAACATGATAACAACAAGAAAGAAAATAAATATGGTGTCACTGAATGTTTCATTTAATTACTCAACAAAGTTTACGTAGTGTTGGGTTACTTTTCAGTGATGGTTTTGCAGTTTTTCCTTCTAAAATATGTACTTTGAGTACAGTGGTTATTTTATTATCCTTCATTTCAAAGTCTTGTAGTCGGTATAAATACATCACTGATTAATGTCTGCGGTTTTAAGATGAAGTGATATCATGATTCATTTTTAAGTAATCACAGACTTCTCTGAATTCTCCTTTGTTTCATCGACACATCTTTCGAAGAGGGCGGAGGTTTTTATCTGGAATCAAGCCACGGAGGTTGTGTTCAAATCTATTTATAGCTGTAACTGTGGGAGTGGTCATCAGGTGCGTTCACACACGGATTCAAACGTCTGATAAAAGAGGGTGTCTTTGTTCACAGAGACTCCGAGCTCCTGGTACCTATTCTGTATTTATGGCTGCTCAACCTATTCAAACTCCTCATTTACAAACTCATTGCTCAGTGTAGATTTCTCAAGTGAGGTCAAGAAGGCAGAACGTGCAAAAGTACGTAAACAGGATGTGACAGCAGAACACGTTACTTGTTTCAAACCTCAGTTCCTAGAAGTTATTTTCTCTGAGACGTCTCAGCCGAGGAATGTGCTCGTCGCTCGGACACACTGAGTTCAACTAGTCCTGCTTTTTGTTTCCACTCTTTATAACGTGTGTGTGTGTGTGTGTGTGTGTGTGTGTGTGTG